TCCCGCTCGATACTTCCTCACAGTTTCCCCGACACACCCTGGCCAGAGATGCCCCCGAACTCAGGAAATGCGCTCTCGCTCGAAACTTCCTCGCAATTCAATCAACTTGGCGGAGGCCCAGCCACGACGGTAAGGGCTCCTGCCCGATACTTCCTCGCGGTTTACTCCGAGAGCCCCTGGCCGGGAAGACTCCTGAACTCAGGCACGACGCTCTCGTTCGAGACTTTCTCGTGATTCAACCAAATTGGTGGAGGCCCAACTACGACGACAAGAGCTCTCGTTCGATACTTCCTCAATCTGCATTCGCAAAGACCCTTGCCAGAGAGGCCCTGGAACTCAAGAGTGGCGCTTTCGCTCGAGACTGCCTTGTAATTCAAGCAAGTTGGTGGAGGCCCGGACACGGCGACACGGGTTCCCGTGTGATATTTCTCACTATGCGTGTCCGAGAGCCCCTGGCCAGAGAGGCCCCCGAATTCAGGAACTGCGCTCTCGCTCGATAGTTCCTCGCACTTCAGTCAGTGGGAAGAAGCTTCCCCCGAAAAGGGTGCGATTGAAAACGAAGTGGGCGGGTATCGAGGGTTTGGGTATACAGAATGCAAGACACGCGTGCCAGTAGGAGTGCACAATCTTGAATTTATGTTTGTGGTTGTTGTTGTTCTTGATGTGGAATTCTCATTTCTAAAGAATAAGTATTGTTGATATCCCCTGCCCGGGAAACCTTTATGGTTTTGGGAATAAAGTACTTCTCCCGGGGATCGCAGTTTTTGTTGTTGTTGTTGTTGTTGTTGTTGTTGTTGTTGTTGTTGTTGTTGTTGTTTTTTCATGTGCTGCGTTGTTGGCCCTCGAACTACAACAACAACGGCTCCAGACTGATAGCTCCTCACAATTTCCTCCCCAATCGCGCTCTCGTGCGAGACTTCCTCACAATGTATGCAGGAATCGCGCTCTCGCGTTGGACTTGCTCGCAATTTATTCAGACGCCGTGCCATCGACACTCAGGAATCACGCTCTCGCTGTGGGCTTCCTCACGATGTACTTTGGAACCGCGCTGTCGCTCGAGACTTCCTCGCGATCTATGCAGGGCGCACGCTTCAGCAACCCGCCTTCTTGACCTGGCCGCCTGGGCCCGCCTTCTCGACCCGCCCGTCTGGGTCTACCCGATCCAGGGGGTCCTGGCTGGGGGTGTGGGTGTTTGTCTTTGGGTTCTTGGGGCCAAGAAACTGCCCCCAACCCCCAGCCAGGACCCTGTGGATCATCAGGTCGGGAGTGGGGGGTCCTGGCTGGGGGTGCGGGTTTGGTTGTGTTGTCCTCAGAAGCAGCGTCACAACGGCCTGGCTCAATTTTCCCTCGCGCCATCATCCGGCGGGCGCCAGTTGCTCTCTTACTCGTCTCTCCTCCCTCTCCTCCTCCTCCTCCTCCTCCTCCTCCTCCTCCTCCTCCTCCCTTCCTCCCTCCTCTCTTCCTTCCTTCCTCCCTTCCTTCGTTCCTTCCTTCCTTCCCTCCCTTCCTCCTTTCTTCCTTCCGTCTCCTACCTCTTCCTCTTCCTCCTCCTCCTCCTCCTCCCTCCTCCCTCCTCCCTCCTCCCTCCTCCCTCCTCCCCTCCCTCCCTCCTCTCCTCCTCCCTCCTCCCCCTCCCCCCCTCCTCCTCCTCCTCCTCCTCCTCCTCCTCCTCCTCCTCCTCCTCCTCCTCCTCCTCCTCCTCCTCCTCCTCCCCCTCCTCCTCCTCCTCCTCTCCTCCTCCCCCTCCTCCTCCTCCTCCTCCTCCTCCTCCTCCTCTTCTCCTCCTCTTCTCCTCCTCCTCCTCCTCCTCGAACAAGGGCCTTGCAGGCCCGTGCCAGGGGCCGCGGCACCAGGGGCTCAAATCCCAGCGTTCGCGGTTGAAGCGCTTCCTGCATCCGTCTGCCCCTCACCCTCCTCCTAAGCTGTCTGGTTTCAGAGGCCTCGAGGACGAGGATGTTTGTTGGCTGAGTGAGAAGCTGGTGGGGTCCAGTGCGTCGTCGGGGGGCGTTCTGGTTGGGCCCGCTGGCGGGCTTGGGGGTCCCAATGTGGCTTCCGTGGAGCCCGCCAGCTTCCGCCAGTACGGGGTAGACGTCCCTGTCCTGGACCTCACCCGAGTTGCCCGCCTGCACGGTTTTGAGTCGCCCACGGCTGCTGTCGAGTGGGCCCGTCAGTGCAGGAGGGCTAAGCAAGACGCCAAGGCCGAAGGCCATTGGCAGTTCGAGGGCGACAACGACTAGCTCGCCGTCTGCCGCATGCGCGGCGAGGTGGATCTGCACCTATGCCTCATTGCCATTGCCATTGCCATTGCCTCCTCCTCCTCCTCCTCCTCCTCCTCCTCCTCCTCCTCGTCCTCCTCCTTCCCCTCTTCCCCCTCTTCCTCCTCCTCCTCCTCCTCCTCCTCCTCCTCCTCCTCCTCTCCCCTCCTCCCTCCTCCTCCTCCTCCTCCTCCTCCTCCTCCTCCTCTCCTGCTCCTCCTCCTCCCCCTCCTCCTCCTCCTCCTCCTCCTCCTCCTCCTCCTCCTCCTCCTCCTCCTCCTCCTCCTCCTCCTCCTCCTCCTCCTCCTCGCCTCCCTCCCTCCCTCCCTCCCTCCACTGCCTCCCTCCCTCCTGGAGGAAAGTGTGGCTGCAGCGCGAGTCCTCACTCCTGCCCTCCTCCTCGGTAAGGCGCTGGGCAATGCGCACAAAATCACCCCTCTCCCCAGCCGCTCAGAACGGTCTCTTGTCGATCCTGACGGTCTTTCCATGCAAAAACTGCAAACATCGGACCGTCGATACTCCCCATCATCCCTCCGAGCAGCCCAGTGCGACAAACCCAGCAAGTAGTGCCGGCAAGCCCTCCGAGCAGCCTAGAGTGGTTCTTTTGAACAGACAAAAGAGATGGCATCAACTTCTGTGCTTTTTGCATAGCGTGGTCCACCCGCTCGGGGCCCTCCAGTGCCAACCATGGTGGAGGTTTCGCCTCAGGGCCAGCGGTCCCGCTGGCCGATCAGCGCCGTCGATGGCCCCCTTGGGGGGGTGTTCTGCGAGTCCGTAAGCGGACTCGAAACTTCTCTCGCCACATCCCGAATGACGGGCCCCGAATCGATCCTGAAGACGGGTCCTTCCACGACAAAATTTGTAAACATCGGATCGGCGATTATCCCCATCATCGGGCAATCCAGCCCGCAACATCGAGTGCCGAGCATGAAGACGAAAGGGTGTAATCCTAAGATATGAAAAGCCCGTCGTGCCAGAATCCATTTTCAGGGCCCCTGGGTCTCAACACCCCAACCCTGGGGCGCGGAACGCCCCGAGAAGCGCCGCCGGAGGCGGAGCCAAGGTGTCGAAGCCGCCTCCTGGCGGCGCTCTTTGGGCGCTCCGCGCCCCCAAAAACTGGGTCCTTGAGGCCGCCCTGGGCTACCCGGGGTGCTTGCGGAGGCCAGCCGGGACTGCCCCGGGGGGGCCGTCTTGTGCGTGTGCGCAGCCTGCAACCCTCCACTCCTCTCTCCCTGAGATCCGGGCGTTGTGGTTTCGGGCCCCAGGGCCATCACGGCTCGATCCAGGTCGAAAAACGCAGCACAAAGATGGTGCCCAGGGCTCCGGCCGTGATTGATCACGGCGTTTTCTTGTTGCGTGACGTCTGATCTCAGGGCTCCCTCCCCCAGGGTTCCCTGCCGAGCCCGTTCGGCGCCTCATCCCGTTCGGCCGCCGCATGGGCTCCCGATCGAGCCCCGCCCGTTAGGGTTCGCGCGTGCTCGGTCGAGCGCGCCCCACACTTTAATGTCCCGCCCGCCCGACCCGACCCGCCCGTTAGGGTCCGCCCGCCCGAACCGACCCGCCTGCTAGGGTCCGCCCGCCCGACCCGACCCGCCCGCCCGACCCGACCCGACCCGCCCGCGCCCGCCCGACCCGACCCGCCCGTTAGGGCTCGCGCCGGCGAAAGCAGCGCTGGCGAAACCAGCCGTCGGCGAAACCAGCGGTGCGAAACCAGCTCATGCCAGGAGGAGGAGGAGGAAGAGGAGGAGGAGGAGGAGGAGGAGGAGGAGGAGGAGGAGGAGGAGGAAGGAGGAGAGGGAGGAGGAGCGAGGGGAGGGAGGAGGATGAGAGGAGGGGTAGGAGGAGGAGGAGGGAGGAGGGGAGGAGGAGGAGGAGCAGCAGGAGGAGAAAAAGGGGTGCCCCACGCTTCCCGCCTGAGCCCTCTCGGCGTCTGAGCCCGCGCGGCCGCCGCAGGGACAGCTGGACGGGCTCAGCTCCGATAGGGCCGACGGAGTGGGGGCCGAGCGGTCGACCGAGCACGCGCGAACCTTAACGGGCGGGTCGGGTCGGGCGGGCGGACCCTAGCGGGCGGGTCGGGGTGGATCGGGTGGACCCTAACGGGCGGGTCGGGTCGGGCGGGCGGGACATTAAAGTGTGGGGCGTGCTCGACCGGCACGCGCGAACCCTAACGGGCGGGTCGGGTCGGGCGGGCGGACCCTACGGGCGGGTCGGGTCGGCGGTTTCGCCGACGGCAGCTGGTTTCGCCGACGGCAGCTGGTTTCGCAGAAGCTGGTTTCGCCGACGGAGCTGGTTTCGCCGGGCGGCGGAACCAGCCGGGCGAAGCCAGCTGATCGGCGAAATCAGCGGGTCGCCCTCCCTCCTCCTCCTCCTCCTCCTCCTCCTCCCTCCTCCTCCTCCTCCTCCCCTCCTCCTCCTCCTCCTCCTCCTCCTCCTCCTCCTCCTCCTCCTCCTCCTCCTCCTCCTCCTCCTCCTCCTCCTCCTCCTCCTCCTCCTCCTCCTCCTCCTCCTCCTCCTCATCCTCCTCCTCCTCCTCCTCCTCCTCCTCCTCCTCCTCCTCCTCCTCCTCCTCCTCCTCTCCTCCTCCTCCTCCTCCTCCTCCTCCTCCTCCTCCTCCTCCTCCTCCTCCTCCTCCTCCTCCTCCTCCTCCTCCTCCTCCTCCTCCTCCCCCTCCCCCGGCCTCCTCTTCCTCCCCCTCCTGCTGGCCACTCCCCGCCCTTCCCCCGGGGCGCGTGTGTCGGAGGGGGC